TGGCCTTCAGGAGGACCCTGTCACTCTATATAACAATAATTACCTGCTGTAGCAATTGGACAGACTAATATGGGAAAAGATGGAAGGACTGACATGATAGAAAGGTGCCATAAGGGAAGGGAAGAAGATTGCTTAGACATATCAGAAGATCCCAGGTTCACAGGGGAAATCTTCACCAAGGAGGGATCTCCAGAAAGAGATCCTTCCCCAGTGGCAGTCAGCCCTTAAATGAGGGCATCTAAAAGAGGTGCAGCCAGGTTCCACTCCTCCTGGTTACACAGCTGAACTGCCTTCACCTGTGCTGCCAAGGCTGACCCAGTCCTTTCCCCAGGTGCTCAATCAGTGGTTCAGGCCATGACTCAACAGTTCCCATACACCACATAGCTCTCTGGAGGACCGTGCCCCTCAGTCCAGCAGCAATGCAGCCCTACTTCAGGCTGAATCAAAATGACACAGTTTGACCCATATGCCCGGTAATCAGACAGCATCACCATGAACAAGACCTCTGCATTATTCCAATGTGGAATTCCAAAAGTGACCAACTTTTCTCAGCTCTTGCTACACCCCATGTTTTTGACAAGCACATCCTTCTCTCTCCTGGAATTTCACTCCTTGACCCCCAAATCCCTTCCACCTAATCCACTGCAGAGAGAAGGCAGCAAAACCAGCAGCCTGCTGAAAAGGCTCTTGCAGCTTAGGCATCAGGGAACCTCAAAGCTGTCTCTAACAAAGCACAATGCAAGGCCTTGCCTAGATCCCTGGGAACGTCTTAGGTTTTATGTTTATTTTTCAGTGCGATCATCAAGCAAGACAGCAAAGAGCCTCGTCACCATCCATCACGAACTTCATTGTTTAGTAATAAGATGTATTACCCCCTTGCAGCAAAATAACACTCCAGCCAAAACTCCCATTTGTTATGATCTGGCTGACTGGGACAGCTGTTTGTGTCAATGCTGTAAACACTCCATTTGGAGCAGAGACAGCAAGTTTTAAGTGCTAATAAATGGGACTGCAGGCCACTGAGCACAGCCTGCATCATGAGGCTAGTGGCTAGTCACCAGCAGTCCTCTCTGGCTGGGTGCCTTGAGCAGTCCTGGCCCACTGCTGCATGCCCAACTCCAGGCACAGATCCCATTGCGATGGCCCTACCAGCTCAGCTGCAGCTCCATCGTGCATTTCCCCACAGCCCAACAGCCCCATTACCTACCAGGATACAGCAATCGACCACAGAATGCCAGAAAGCCAGCAGCTGCACGGGCAGGAAGCATTTGGTACTGAGCCAGCTGCTCTCAGCCCAACAGGAACGAGGTCAGTGCTGAAGGAGGAACTTAAGTGTCTCCGTGCATCTGGAAGGAGCTGTATCTGCTTTTCTGCAGTCACCTTTATCAGAAACAGCCCCAGATCAGACAGCAGAGAGAAAGCTTTCCAGACAGCACTGGCAGACTTTTCCAGGAACTTACGATGCTAACCTCGGGTAGAACAGAATGAAATGCTTAGCTAGGTCTTTGATCTTGTGCCTGCCATGCTTTCCAGAATTGGAGGCATGCTCCTATCTTTAGTTTATTACCCACCGCACAATCAGCTTTAAAGCTCCAAAAAACCAAAGGCCATTGAAGCAGGTAGTTGGTAACAGCACACCAGGGGGCCAGAGATGACCTCTCACCACACCAGATTCCCAAGCACATATTGAGGCAGCTCAGAGCGGGCTTTCTTTTGCCCTACAAACTCAACTGCAGTCAGCCTAACCTATGCCCCAAGGAGCCAGCAGCCTTCCTATATCCCCAGACAGAAGCAGGCGCCCTGGGGCACTGCAAGGCTGCCTGCTCACATGGTGCCCTCACTCTGGCTGCATGACATCTGGTACAGCGAAGACAGTGTCTTTGCAGAGCAGCTCTAGGTGATGCAGAGTACATTGTGGCAGCAGCCATCAGGGGATTTCACTGAGGTCACAGCCTCGACACGTTAGACACAGATGTCACTTCCATTTCTGAGGCAGAAAAAAAAAAGCTTAAAGATGTACAGACAAAGCACTGGCAAGATACCATGATTTATCATCACTGTCATTGGAAACACTCACAATAGCCTGAGTATACCCTTCAACTCCTCTATAACAACTCCTTTGAGAGGTACATGAATGCTAGAAGCAGGGACAGGCCTCCTGTACATTTACACCTCTGACTCTGAGGAACTAAATCCTTCAGGAAGGCTGCAAGGATTAAAAAAAAAAAAAAAAAGGATATTAAAAAAAATCACCAGCTCTCCAATCTCTGCAGCCAGCCTGACAAACTGTCCTCAGGAGCACTCCATAGAGTATATAGAGGGAGCACTGTGGTCCATCAGTAATATCAGAGCTAGCTCAACGGCACCTACAGAAGAGAAAAAGCCACTACTATTTTCACACTGCTTGATCAGACCTCTATTTCAACTGCAGCAGCACAGTGTCACCCCATCCTAGGACCTAAAGGCAGAAGCAGATAAAGGCACAAAAATGATAAAAGCACCACCATTAACTTCTCTTGCACAGCCTTGCAGTTAGTAAGGACTTTATCTGGCCAGGAACTTTTCACTCTCCAAATCAAGAGCTGGAAATAAAAACCCACAGGCAGCAGATCCTTCAGCAGACTCAGGCTGCATTACATTCAGGAGATTACCACAAGGCCAGGTGACACTCAGGGAGATGAACCACAGCTGCCTCTTGTGACAAGGTTGTACTGACCATCAAACAAACTCCTTGAAGCAAAGCAGAGCAGCAGTGAACTCACCACACTCCTGTACACCAACAAGGGGCAGCTCCTGAATTGCATCACTCCCACAGCATGGAACATTTTGGACAAGATGTGCTTAATGCAAACAACAAACTTGGGTCCAAGCTCAGGTGTTATCTTGTACATTGCTTTATCACTTACCTGTTTTTTTCTTCATTTTCCTTTATCGGTCTGCAAATAGCTCAAGGGAAGCCCAGGCCATGACACTTTGGGAAAGGCTCCCAGGAGTCAGCTGATAGGTTGGGAGTGGGTTCACAAGGAAGGACCTGCATCCCCACTGCCTCTTCACATCCACCATGGCACAGTCCCAGGAAGCTCAGTGGGATATAAGCCCCCAGCAAGAAATGCTTAAAAGTCTTAAATCAAGACAAGGAACTTTCCTTTGCAGTCACCCTGTACTTTCACTCAGCACTAAGAGATTCAGTTGAAAGGGTCATCCCAAGTTTAAGAAAGAACACTTTCACACAGCTGCTTTGAAAGCTCACCCCCTCTGCGGTTCCCAGGGTCAGGCAAATTGCCCCTTGCCACCTCATTGGGGTGTGGGGGGAAACTTATTAATCACCTACCAGCCACCACCTGCAGTGCTCTGACAAAGCTGCAGAGCTCTTTGGTGGTGGCTAATGAGATATCAGCACCCACACCTGTAGCTAACAGGAGTCTAACACTGAACTTGAGCTAACAAGTGTTAAAACGGAGCAGTGAGAGCTGCCTTTCTGCAAAAAAAGAACTGAGCCACAATACTCAGCACCAAGTTTCAGCTCACCCCTACTGTGATGGGATGCCCTCGCACCTACTTCTGCTCTGGGTGCTTTGAGGCTGCCAGACAGATATGGAAGAAGATGTGACTCAGCTCCCTGCCTACGTGCTGTAGGGCCACTACAGGCACCAGAACCTTCACAACCACCACATCCCCTCTTGGCTACTCAAAATCACAGGTGTAGTGGTATCCATACCTCCTCCAGGCCTTCTTTACCACTTAGCAACCCTTATTATTACTTCATAATCGCATCTCCCAGAATCAGCCTTTCACTTAAAAGGCAGAGGCCATTTCCACTGTCTGCCCAAACCATCTGTAGTTCAACCCATCCCATTGTGAGCAGTTGTTCATGGTGCAGTTCCCCAGCTGCTGCCTTTCAGCCTGAAGTGCACACACCTCCACCTCGCAGAGGGGCTTCTGTGCTTCAGATTTGGGTTTGAAACCCAGATCTTTGGCAGCCTTCTCCAACCCCAACCCTAGGATTTCGCTTTTCTCCTCCCAAAAAACCTACAGAGGGGCTGCCGAGCCCTCTGGCCTTTCATCTCGCTGCATGCTATGAGGCATGCTTTTGTGCTGAGCTCTTGGGGCAATGTTTGACTCGAGGGGAAAAAATATACATAAGAAATAGGGTGGGCCAGCTCTTCGAAACACAACACACCGCACACCTACTGCTCCGGGTTCGCTTCACCTCTTGCAACAAACGGGAGCCTGGCACTGCCTCACCTCACGCTCAGACCTTGAGGGGAAGCAGATCAAAGCTGAATGTACAGAGGAGCACCGCGGGCCGCAGCTCTGCTGACGCCACTGAGGCGCTTTTGTGACAAAACGTTGGCAAGGGCCGAGCGCCGCCGGCCGCGTCAGGCGGGAGCGGAGCCCTCAGTCCCGTCCCGCCTCCCCTCAGCGCTGCGTCCCCGCTTGTTCCCGCCCCCGCTTTTCCCGCCCCCTGGCGGCAGTAACGGCCACCCCTCAGCGCCACATCTTTAAGCACTACAGCGCGGCCGGGGGCGCTGAGCTCATCGGCTCCCTGGGCAGCCCGCTCCGCTGCATCACCGCTCCTGAGAACGAATTGTTCCTACTATCCAACCTGAAGCTCCCCTAGTGCAACTTGAAGCCATTAGCTCTGGACCTATCACTGGGAGCGGAGACCGATTGCGCTTCACCACAACCTCCTTTCTGGAGTTGAAGTGTTGAGGTCTCTGCTGAGCCTCCTCCACACTGACCATCCCCATAGGACACCCTCACAGTCCATGCCGGGCATTGGGGAACTGCAGTGCTACAGGAGCTGCTGAATCCCATTCTCGCGGGGGAACAATCTCCATGTGCTGGCAGCAGCACTGTGTGGAACAGAGGAGTAAAAGAGCCCCAGAAAACATGGATGAAGCCCTCACCTGAGCCAGTCCTCCTCCAGCCCTGTGTGAAGCTGGAGCATCGCCTTGCCCTACCTGTAACGTGGTGTGGTGTGAGGGAGCCAAACAAGCCAGTGTCAAAATCTTTTATTTACAAGTCTCCAAAAATCAAGGAACATTGAAAATAGGGAGAGTAGGAGACGACTTACAAAAAGTAACACGCGGACGTTACATTGCGAATTGTGCTACATCACTCTGAGAACCGATGCGAAGGTCTGCAGGCACGTGGCGAAGCGGCAGCACTTTGAGGTGCTCCTGCCCCCTCTCCCACATCATCCCTCTTCTTTGCTCTCTTCCCTGCAAACCTTCCTGCCTGCTGCTCTGCCTCCAGTCCTCCTATCACCCCCCCTGCTGCCCCCAAGGGGAGGACGCATCCCACACCTCCATTCTGATGAATGGGTTCTGTGAGAGTTTCCAATTCCAGGACCTGGGTGTGAAGCTGAGGAAGAGGAGTTAGTAAAGGGCTTTGAAACAGGATAACCTGTGAACTGTGACTTGCATGCTATCCGGGTGAGGAGTGATTTTGCTAATTACTAAGAGACTTGCCCTGCCTGGCTGCAAATCAATCAGCACAGTTTTCCTGCCGGACAGTGTGCACACATTTACGTGGCCTTTCATAATTTTCCAAGAGGGCAAGCCGCTCTGGTAAGAAAATTCAGTGCAGCACACGCCAAAATGAGGTGCTGTGACATAAAAGCAACATCCCAGTTTGTTCCAGTGGTGACAAAGTCAGGGGTCTCAGGGGGTCTCAGGAGACCCCTGCAGCCAGATTGCCAACACAGTGTGCAAACAGCTCTGTAAGCACGCCATATATCCTTCTCCTTGGGGATAATTTCCAGGCTGGCTTTGCTTGGGACAGAGATCACAGCCCAGCACAGTCACTGATCCCTTTCCAGTATTTGCAGCCTTTGAAACCACCAAGATTGGTGGCCAGCCCTGATGACTCCATTGCCTGTACAGGCCCTGCATGAACCCAGCGCCTCAAGAACCACTGCAACAAAAGCAAAGAAATGGAGTGAGGAGACCTGGGTCTATTTCTGACACTGATCTTTGCAAAGCACATCAGCTCTGTTCCTCTTTGCTCCAAAGCTGTTGTGAGTCCTATTCTCACCATTGTCTGTGGGGAACCTTGAACTCACGCAGCAGCAATTCTAAAGGCAGCAGCTCTGTACATATCTCTGCTTTGGCAAACAGGAATCAATGCCCTCCTGTAACTACTGAGGGCTTCTTGTCAGGACAGGATCAGCTCTAGATGATCAGATGATCAGCTCTAGGAGATTACAGTTTCCATCCTGAAATGTTAACTTCTCAGAAGGTATCCTTCAAAACAGAACTTACCAAAAAAAAAAAAAAAAAAAGAGGATGGGCAGATAACAAATATTAATTGCAGTGTGCTGTAACTGAGAACCCGTGTATGTTTCTTTTTAACTGCAGCAGTAAGATTGTTTTGAAATGGAAAAACAGTGCGTTCTCTCACAAGTAAAGCCAGGATGAAATATTTCCATGACAATGTGTTCAACTATTTAAGAACACTGAAACTGGCAGCTTTATATGAAGAATTTTAGCACCTTAGCTTCCCCTGCCTGAGAAATTCTGAGAAAGTCTCCAGCATGCCTTAGTTCAGCATCTGTGAGCATCTTAGGCAAAGGAGGTACCACTGAGAAGGCGGAACCTTGCACAGCAAGGTGACAGGGCCCAAGAGATGCTCTGGGCATCAGAGAAAGAAGATGGGTAGAGATTTGGGAGGAATTAATTTAGGGCAAGCATCTGCTCCTGAACAGCGCTAGACAGGTGAGCCTTTGCTTTTTATTGCTACAAGCATCTGCCTCAGAGCACTGATTCCCAGCAGGGCTGTCAGCCCCACCTTCATGCTTGCTCAGATAAACCCATCCATTTTCTTACCCCTATAATTTTATGAATATTTTCTAATGCCAGGGAGATGGATGTATGCATCTGCCACTGATTTACTGTCTCCACCAAGACAGTGTTGCAAGTATGCTAGGGAAGGCTGGGCTCCACTTCTGTTTCTCCTTCACTCTGCAACACTCTGCAGGATATTCTGTGCTTCTACATCTAAAACCCAAGTGTTGTGACCATTAAATTTTCAGCTTATCAATGTCCAGTGGGCACCTGCACTGGAAAGCATAATCTGGGATCATCTCCTGGCTATTCTACTATAACTTGGAGTGAGCTCCAAATCCTAACTCTGCCTCAGCTTCCTGCTGGAGGGACACCATCTCCTCAGTATGCCTTTGCAAATCATCTGCTATACTTACCTTAGTCTTTTCTTTTCCTTCCTGAATCACTCCAGCCATTGCTTTTCTAGCGTGTTCCCAGAGCCACTTGGGCAAACATGGAGAAGGTGTTGTTCCTGCTCATATCAGCCTGCCCTACTGCTCTGACTAGCTAGAGAGGATAAGAAAGCAGTCCTTCCCCCTTCCTGCTCCAGAAAATGGGACAGAACCTGTTGGGTGCTAAGAATGCTGTTATTTTTGTCTGAGATCAGACACTGATAAATCAGAACCCGGAGGCACAAAAGCTTTTCCACTACTTTGAAACTAATCTTTGCTTTCTGAGAATGGCTGAGGGACTGGTCTCAGCATGGCGTGCCCAGCATCACTCTGGAAGTGAGGAGCTTATATTAGCCTCTTTATAGTGAGTAAAACTGTGGGATACCTGGGGCATGAATGCGCGTTAAGTTTTGCAGGATTAAAGCAGATCTGTGCCTCGCCTTAAAGATCTTTCAGTGCTTCTCCGTGCTCACAGAAGGGACATGCTGCAAGGCTTAACTCAGCACCTTCCTCTCTTGTCTGGCGACCTGGAAATAACCATCAGCTTTAATCACTCGAAGAAGGTTGAAGCAATAGGTGAATATGGGTCAAGCCTTCCAGTCAGAGCATCCTTGGCAGCAGCACCAGGGCTCCTGCACTCTGCCCCACAACACCCATGTAGATCGCTGTATGTCATCAGCACGCTGCCCTCTGTGCTTGCTGCCATTTACAAGTGCGCAGGGCACCACTAGTAATTAAATCTGGAGATGAGACATCAGGGAAAGCAGGGCTTGCAGATCAGTGTGGCTGAGCCTTGTATAGCAGCTCTCAAAGAACCACAGGTTTAGGAAGGTTGAAAATCCTTCCCAGAACCATTTATTCATCAGGGTTCATCCTGTAGGAGCTGGGCAGAGCAGAGACAGGGGTCAAGGAACAGTAAATCCTGCAGAAAAGGGTAACTCAGCTGTGCCATGGTGATGGTGAGGAAGAAAACCAGGTCCTGTTTGCTCATGCTTTCACCACCCTCATGGATTGCTCTAGATTTCTCCTGGCATCAACAAAGCCTAAGGAGACTCCTGTCCTCAATCCCTTCTCTCCAGCTGATGCCTTGGGGAACCTAGTTTAGGAACAAATGTTTGATCCTGTTTCAGAGGAACAACATGATGTGAAGATGTAAGAGACTGGCAGGGATTAAACCAGGGATATAGTGAGCCAAGCAGCAGCAGCTGCTGGTCTGTCTCAGCAGCACAGTCCCCAGAACGTGGCTGGCACGAGGGACCAGCTTCCTGGCATTTCCATTTTAAAAAGGGGGTCAATCCAGACAGAGAATGCAAAGCCATCGGGGACATGGTATCTGCAAACAAATGAGGAGTCGGGCTGCTTTCCAGCCACCTCTTTCTGTTGGCATCCCTGTAAATAATGTTTAATGCATCTCCCAGTGGGCCTGACCCCTCCCCTTCTGCCAAGGACCAGATGTGCTGCATATCAACGCACACACTTAGTTATTTCAATTTTAAGAATATGATGGAATCAGTGATGCTTAAAATGTACTTGTTAATGGCACCAGTTTGCAATTTCATTTTACTTTAATATAAACCATCTGCTTTGAGCAGGCAGCAGCCTCAGGCTGAAGCTCTGCTGCCTTCATGTCTGCACAGCAGGGTCTCTGAGCTGCCACAGAGAATGCCCCACTGTTAATCCACGCATGCTGCCAGCTATGGGCTCTACCTTGCTACAGGGGTTAGTTTATCCTCAGGCTAAGTGCTGGATGCCAGGTCCTGGAGCAAAAATCTTTGTACCGAGCTGAAGGTCTTCAGTTCTCTCTCTGCCATGAAGAGCAGAGGTAGATTGGTGAAGTCACAAACAGAGCGGGAGCTGGGACAGGACACCACTGCTACCTTGGCAAGAAGGAGAGGAGGACAGGGCCCTGTAGGCACCAACAGTGTTCTGATGACTGTTCAGAGACACAAGGGATCCCAGTGAGAGGACCGGCGTCCTTTATGAAAGAAAGAGCCACATGTCCTGGCATTCCCCGCTAACAATGAAAGCAGGTCCCAGCAGGTGGTGCTGCCCCAAAATCTCTCATTTTAATTTCACAACCACCCCAGTAAGAGCTAGCTGGGAAATGCATCCTGTGCAGTGAGTTTGCAGCTGAGCACGGGGCATAGCAAAGCAATGCTATTCCCCAGGCCTCGCTGCCCTTTGCAAGGCTCAGGTGTTGATGCACAGCCCTGTTATGGGACAGGACATCACCTCTAAAGCCATCGTCACAATGCTGACCCTGGCCATGTCAAGGACAGAAAGGAAGCAGTTTGAAAGGGGTCAGACGGCCTACCTGACTTCTTTACCTTTGTGGTTCCAGAAAGCTCTGTTCATTTAAAAAAAGAAAAGCAGAAAGAAAATTGAGAGAAGAGCACCTTCTCCCCTCCTACTCATGGGCTGAGGAATTCCCTGGGCAGCCCTCACTGTCCGTCATCCATCCATCACTTCTGAAATAAATACAAGTTTAGAGCAAAACCCATTAGAAAATAAAGTGCATCTGGAGTTGAAAAACTTCTGGAAAAAACAGGATTTTTTTTCCTCTTTTTTTTTCTTACAAAAAATATCCTTTAAAAAAAAAAAGAAAGAAAAAAAGAAAAGGGAGCAAGAGGACAGATCGTGTGGCTCTCGGTGTGAGGTCTACAGGGCTGTCCCATTAGGGAGAGGGATCTTAAATCCACCCTTTAGCAGGGCAAGGCAGATGCATAGACCCAGCAGGCCAGCGAGAAGCACCCCTGCCACAGCCTTGAGGCAGGAAGTCCTGCTCCGGGTGAAGGTGCCGGGCCCCATGATGCTCAGCAGGGCTGTGCTCACAGTCAGCGTGTATAGGATGGAGACTGCCGTGTTGAGGGCCACGATCTTCCCAAACTTGGCGAAAGGGGCAATGATGCAGAAGAAGAGCGGGACGGTGGCAATCACGGTGGTGACAGCACTCGAGACAATTGCTACGCCCACGTGACGGATAGCTTCAATCGTCCTCCACTGGCGGCAGGCTGTGGGGTCCTGGCGGAAGGGACAGCAGTGTCACGGGGAGCAGGGACAAAGCACACAGGACTGCAGAAATGCTTTATGCTCTGAGAGGGTGGCTTAGCTCACGGAGTCCTGGTCTGGGACACAGACGCTGTGTGAGTGTACTTCTCGCTGTTTCTGCAGTCTCTGAGCACACCAGGCAAATAGCCATGAGGTTAAAATCCAGCAGAGACTAAGTGCTGGATTTTGTGCCTCCACCAGTGCCTTCTTTCAGCCACATCAGGTGGGTGGACTGCAAACAGATGCTGTACCAGGGAACAGAGATCCCCAAGCTTTTGTGATGCCCATCTTCCCGAAGAGGGAAAGACGTTAGCAGGGCCAGAGGGGGCAAGTCACAAGGCAGTCTGATTTTCAGAAGTTACAGGATGAGTTTAGGGCTACTCTAAGGCTCTCGCTGTCCTTAGTGGGGCATGAAAAAGCATTGCTTTGGACACAGGTGTGTCCAGTGGCCGTTGAGAGAGGGACAAGAATGCAGGTTGGATGCTCAGCTGGGTTTTACTAACTCCAGGTACATCAGCTCACATCAGCTGGAAAAGTTACCCAGGCACGTTGTGAGGATGGCAGGAGGCATTCCATTTTGCCCAGCACATCTTACATCCTGCATCACAGCTGGGTGATACCAAAGGCACGAGGGGAGTGCGTGCAAAGCTTTAGGAGGAAAAGAGCTCACCTCTGCGTGGTGCAGCGGCAGGTTTTCCCCTGCCAGCAGGTAGCCCTCCACCAAGTGCACGCAGTAATCGACAGAAGAGCCAACGAGGATGGACAGAGAAATGGCTTCCACAGCCCCCATTTCCCAGCCAGACCAGTACATGATGGTCACCACCAGGCAGACCACACCTGCATGAAGAAGCTCATGTTAGGCAAGTTTAGGGGACTCAAGGAGTGCTGCTCAGCCTTACTGTTACAGCTCAGTCTCAGGGGATTTTGAGATCATGCCTCTGAGCTCTGTACGCCAGCCAGGCTCAATGCTTTACGTCCTCCCTCCTGCCCACAAAGGCGAATGCTTCCCTCACCTTCGCGCCATCCAATAATGCACTCAGACCTGCTGGGGATAGCGAAGCACCTCACTAAAACATCAGGCAAAATGACAGACTGATACCAACCAGACTAATGAATTCAACACAAGCAAGCGTGCATACGTGCACTGGATGGAAGAGGGCCCTATGTTTTGCTTGCTGGAGTTTACTCACAGCCTGAGCACATGCACAAGGTTTTCTTAAAGGCACGAGTGCTGTTTGTTTGTGAGTCATGTGTGGGAGAGTAAGTGGTTTTAAAATGATAGATTTGATTTTGAAACCGGGAAGTTAAGCAACACACTTAGTCCATAATATCGTCAAATCACCAGCCAAGGAGAGGGAGCTATTTAGAAATTTGCTTCAAATACTAACAAAAACACTCAAATATTCAGCTTTTAAAATCTCCCACTGCTTGGAAACAGCAGCCATGGTGCTGATCCTTGGGAAGCAGTGCAATTGCTATTCAGGGCATGTGGGACTTAATCACATTATTATACATAACAGGCAAGGATGGCATTTGTGTAGCTAAACCCCTTATTTAAACAAATAGAAGGGATTGTGTAGATAAAGCACACAGGGAATTAGATACACAAATCTGTTTTCCCAATGAGGTTCCTATGCAGTTGTCGAGAGTTTCTCCCATTCACCTGAGCATAGCAGGACTGAGTCCAGGAAACCAAAAGGATTTACAGAGAGAAATAACAACTCAGTTTGAATCATCACTCAGCAGTGGCACAACCCACTAATCTCAGAGAAAGGGAAGGCCTGGCACACCAAGGTCAGCAATTTTACCTAAAATGCTGAGCAGCACTGGCAGCAGGAGGAGGATGTGAGTGGTGAACACTGCCACTGCAGCCACACAAATAACCAGCGAAAGGATGAGACCATACAGGGCACTCTGCACTCCTATAAGAGAAACAGCCAGTTAACTGGAGCCTGGGATGGTGACAGCTGGGGTGAGGGGGAACTGCATCCCTGGACTCCCCAGCAGCAAAGCAAATTTCCCCACTTTCTCTACTTCCCTGAACTCTATTTAGGGATTTCGACAGTATGTGCTGCTTGGAGTGGAAGAAGATCTTAGGACTGTGCACAGTCCTAAGGGACTGAAGATACAACACGGCATAAAATGGAGCAAAGGGTGTTGCGCTTGGCTTCCTTAGGGAGAGAAACAGGACAGTCACTTGCCTATAATCTCCATGAAGATCTGCTTCCAGTGCTCACAGGTCTGGAAACCATGACGGAGAGCAGAACCCTCTGGGAAGAGCTGGAGTTGCTGCTGCAGGAATGTCTCCCATTTCAGATAATCAGCATACGTCTGGAAGGAAGATTTCCCTTTGTAGGTTGTCTGTAAGAAGATGAACATGTTACATTTGTGTCCTGCTCCCTGATGCAGTGTATGCAAGGGTGAAGGTAGAACAAACAGCTGGAGTAGCAGGCAGAACTTAAAGGGGCAAAAAGCCACCAGCTCTTTGCCTGAACTCATGGTAGGAGCAAAGGGTGGCATAAGCAGCTACTTCTTAGCAACATGTGAGTGCAGGCATCTGTCTGCAACCCGGCACAAACACCAGCAAGCACTAATTTATGGCTGCAAATGAAAGTGGCTAGTGCAGAAAGAACAGAGCTAAGCCCCTAGAAGTCACAAGAAGAAGGTGTCCCAAGGATAGATGGTGATGCTCACTGATTCAAATGCCATGGAGATCCACTGCACCTTCCCATCCTTCACTCCCACTGCCCCGTGAGAGAGCTGTCCAGGCAGCAGGTTCGGCTCAGGGATGTTCTTGCACTCAGGGTGCAACATCTGCAGAAAGGAGGAGATGCTATAACCTGGAGAGAAAGAAAGAGCAAGGAGTGGAGGACAGGACAGGGAAAGGGAGCACATGGGAACAAAGGGGAAAAAAACAAGGAAGCTGCAGGCTGCATTTGTCAGCAGCTGCTTCCCCTTGCAACTCTGACTTGTAAAAGCACTAGAGATCTCAGGATCAGAATTCTCAGCTTGAGAGGGCAGTCAGTGCTGTCAGCACTGAACAGGACATGATCACAACTCAAGCAGCACTGTTGCTAACAGAGATGCAGAACAGGCATCTGCCGCTGCTGTCCTACTTGCTGGGTATTTCTCATCCTTGAAGAAACTGGCACAACAAATGCAAGCATAGGGTGAGTGGCTCGTGGAGGTGGGAGCTGTGACCTGGGCCAAAGCTGTGCTGCAGCCAGCTCAAAGAGCTGCCTGCTGAGAAACACCTCTGCTCTCTGCACTGCCTGCATTTATCACCGACTGGTATGTTTGCTTCCTTGCCTCTCTTCATCAAGCTGGGAACTGAAGGTTTAGAAGCCCTTAGGAGCTACGATCCTCAGGCTGAAAGGTGAGAAGCAGCGTCCACCCAGGGACCCAGGGTCTTCCTGAGGACCCACGTACCCGAGGGCAGGCACTGAGCCCCTCCTGGCTTCACAAGCTCGGTGTTGCTGGCGATGGCTTTGCAGAGGCGACACAGGTTGCCAATCTCTTTGAAGAGGTCGAAGCTGTCATCGTAGATAACGCTGCCCTTTCACAAGGAGACACAACAACAGAAGCACCACACGTGAGACATGCACACTGCAACTGGCACAAGGCAGAACTTGGGCACAGAGCTTGCAATCTGCTTATTCAGACCATAGCTTCTACAGTAAACAAACCTCACATGTTTGCCTCACCAGACAACCCAGAAAGAAACTACATTAAAAAATTGTAGATACATATATCAGGCAGTGTGACAGAAGAACTGATGAATACACGGCTACCAGGCCGTGCCCCAAACCACTGTGGTCTGAGTAAGGAGACTGAACAATTCCAGCTTTCTGTCCACTCTACTGCTTGTGTGTGGTGCTGTTCCCTCCAGAGGAAACAAGGACAGAACCCAGATCAAAAGGCTGAAATGCATCCGCAACTGCCACAGCTAAGCATAATTCTGCTAGTGAAAGGCTGTGAATATTTCCAAGTACCTGAGGTGGGGGATAAACTGCTTCTGAAAACATCACTTTTAGGAAACTTTCTCTAGAGTGCTTTGTATTTTTTCCACGTTACAATCTCATAACAAAATAAACAATTATAGAAAAATATCAGTTGCCTGGATCTTGAGTTTACAGTGACATTTCCACACCGAGCTCAAGATGGGTTTGCTTCTAAAATTCTCAGGCAAGCCAGATTTAGACTTAAAATTAGAAGGTTAGGTACTGCACTCCAAAAGGGATTTTCTGAAAAGTCTGAAGCAGTTTTAGGAAAGGGCTTCTTCATCCCTATTGTTTGGGAATGTTCTATACAGAGCGTGCTTCTGGCTCATCACAGCCAGCCACCTCCATCTGTCCTGACTGCTGCAGGGAATAACTAAATACCATCCAGGGAGACCCTTCCTTCACTCATCAGTCCCAGCTGGCTGTTCAGCATTCGTGTACCATGTCTGCGATGACGTGGTTGTCCGAGTGCTTGGTACGATTCACCCCTCGGATGCCAAAGACGACGAACACCATGGCGCCTGTGTCCACCAGTGGTCGCACTGCTGGCTTCCCGCAGCCCGTGTTCATGCAAGGATTAAACCCAGAAGTCGCCGAGAGCCTTGCTTTGGGTGCTGCTATCAAATGTGGAAGAAAGGAAGGTTACACCTGAAGGCAAAAACCCAGCTGACTCTCAAGCATCACCAGCAACAAGGCATGGCTGAACGGGTCCTCAGTAGCTCACCTTTCTCACTGGGAACATAAAGGATGCCTTTGGTGGGTCCATCTGGGCTGGAGCTGAGGAGACAACCAGGAGGTGCCACACACACTCGGCCATGGTAAGGAGGCTTGTGTGATTGGGCAAAATACAGCTTCCTGTGCAGGAAAAAGAGTTTGTTATGGTAGGGCACAGGTAGTATGGATGATCTCCACAGCACTACATGGAAACAGACGTTCTCAAGGACAGAGGGAAGGGAAAAACTGCACGGCTCGAGACTTGGATCCCTAGCCATTGTGCTCTGTGTGCTGCCTGCTCAGCCCAAGGCCTCAGCTGGGTAAGGTCAACACAAAAATCAGCAACTTCTTTTTGACACACGAGGCCCACAGTGACAATCCTGCATCTGGCAAGCCTGTGACAAGTGTTAGTGGTGTTGTGAGGCTGCAAAATAACTTGGCAAAGTGGGGCATATGTGCAGCAAAGAGGCCTAAGGCCAGGGACGTTCAGCTGAGAGCAGGACTGGCACTGGACACGAGGCATTGTGTTTCAACCATTCAGGTGCACTGTTTGCTGCCTGGCCATGTGGGCTTTGGAGGGTTACCGTGTTCGCTGCTGCTCCTTGGCGGCCACGTAGAAACTGAAGTCGAACTTCCAGCCTCTCTTGCTATCACAGGACAAGGTAGTCATCATCCACTTCCTGGGGCTCGTCTGCTTAAGCAGCCCTACTGTGGACACACAAGCTGTCAGCTTCCTGGTGAAGTTACCGAAAGGCACTCTATACACCTAAGCAATGGATTAATGAAAACAGACACTTAACTCCACAAGGTTGCAGCCTGTCATATGTTAGCATCACACACTCCCCTCCTCCCAGAGCACTGGCACAACCATACAGAATGAGCACTGTAGGAACAAACCCAGCCAGTCCCCAGCCTGCCTCCTTCCCATCGTGTGTGTGATGGAACCCCTTGCCACCCCCATTCTTTGTGCCCGAGCTGGATGGTGGCTGCTCTGTTCAGGATGAGGGAGAAATGCAAGAGAATTCTGCTGGGGGTGTCCATGCCCAACACGTGCACAAGCAGTGTTGCCTGCTCACCAGCTGTCTGTGCACGGACAGAAGGAAGCAGTGGGAATGCAGCTGTCTCATTACAGTTTCTATAAATTGAGCTCAGCTGATGATGCCAGAACTCATCTGATCCCCACAGACACCCACACTCCTGCTCTCATTGCTGACAATCACACTGCAACTGCAACAGACCAATACTGGGGCAGTGCAAGGCCCTCTAGCAAGGCCCTCTGTGCTAGCTCCCTTACTGCAACCCCCTTCACCCTGAGCTACCCAGGGCCCTGTGGAGTGACAGGAGGCTCTTGTGCTCACCTGAGTGCTGCACTCTTGATAGAGGGGTCCACCATCCCTGGACTGACTCACCTGGAATGAAGGCACCTCTCCATCTCCCGGTGACACCATCTGCCAGGGGGCAGGGATGCTGGCATTGAGAGAGAATCTGTAGATGGCTGGCCTTCCTTTGCTTCTGGACTTGGAGATATACACAGTCCCCTGCAGATCTGCAGAAAACAGAGAGAGGGCATGAGGGCTTGTGGTACTGCTCATTCAGCAAATCTTACAGACATGGGCAGCAGCGGAAGAGGTTTTCTTCTGGTCTGTTGTCTCCTCTGGGGCAGCAGGCACAGCCTCTGCCTTCTAGCAGCACAGCACACCTTTCAAAGGCTTTCACAAACATATCCTGAGCTGCAGTAATTCCTGATGGCTTATTGATTCATGTCAGCTCAGGACCTGGCCCAATAACTCTTTTATGCTCAAAATCCCCTGCAAAGCAAACTGAATTTACTCCCTTCGTGGCCTGCCAACAAGGCTGTGACATAGGACAGGGACGCAAAAGGTCTGAGCTCCCAGCCCTGTGCTCATACTAGGCAGACCACTGGGATTTGTCACTAGACTGTTCTGCCACCTGGATTGTAAGATCTTGTACTGAAGAACAGTAGGTATTGAGGGGAAGGGGCATGGTAATGATGCCCTATACATCCAGCACCAAGCCAGGGCTCAGCAGGGATGTGTCAGAAGAAAATTATTCCATATCAGTTATTCAGAGGTTGTATCATTTTTTTTCTTTTTTTTTTAAAACAAATGTGGCCAAAAAATCTGTCCCCATGCCCTGCTTACCTTGCTGCCCTGTATCAGTTATGCTCCCTTTACTTCCCCAGGGTGATCCAGAGCCTCTCTTCTTTTTCTCCAAGGATGTTCGGAAGTTGTTCTGCAAACTGTGGGGCTTTTCCTGAAACAAACCTGTCCCACAAGGTTACTCAGGGAGGAAACAGTGAATGACACAGCAAGATACCTACCATGGTAGGCATGGTGGCCATAGATTGATGGTTGGACTAGATTATCTTGGTAGTCTTTTCCGACCTTAATGATTCTATGATCACTGTGCATGCTACTCAGCTGAATAGGTAACACATCAGATACTTTGCTATTGAATATCAAATCCAAACCAGGGAACACAGAGCCACTGACCTCAGACTGGTCACTGGCAGAGACCCTTATGAGTAAAAGTAGTTGGTTTTGCTCAACTTGAATGCTATTTGCTCTAGCAGAAAAACTGCTAAAGCAGCTTTTCAATATGCTCAACTCCTACAGGCAACACCACCGTCCTACTCAGAGTATGCACCTCCCTTCAACAGGATCCATTCAGTATCCAATGAGCCATGAAAAACACAGCTCTCTCTTTCACGTTCCAGCTCCCCCAGTCTGCACCCTGGAGATCAGCACTCTCACCTGAGCAGGTAATGCAGGAGATGCCTTCAGCACTCAGGTTGTATTTCAGGTCTAGCAGCACCTGGATGTTGGTGTCTGGCCGGAACAGGACTGGAGCACGGCTAGCTGGGCGGAGGCGGCTGGCAAAGAATATGGACAGGAGCAAAACGAGGAGAAAGAGCCCTGCAAAGAAAAGCCCAGATAAGTGCACGGGAGACCCTGCACAAATCTTCCTCTTATGATATCGTTAGCAGGGACATGGAGGAAGGAGGAGAAGGGAACAGCACTGCTGACATCAGCAGCTGAGATTTCTTGTATTGAGCCCTGTGCTTGGATAACCCCACGGGGACCTGCCATTTCAGATCTGAGTGAAAGGAGAGGGATGGAGAAGTCTCCAAGTTCCTCATGCAATTCCCTTAGGGACTATCTGTTCTGGTGACACTCATCAACTGTGTTAGAAACTATCCATTATGCCTTCTTTCTCAATCTCTTGTCACTAATAATCACAACTTAGATACTGCCTGTGATGCTGTCAAACCCTCTAAAACCCAGTAGGATGGAATAATTTCCTTTCCTCCTTACCCACAATCACCCATCTGCTCTTCACTGCAGACCACAGCACCCAGTGCTCCAGAAGCTCCTGGAGATGAGCTATCAGATGACCTCGGTTGCTCTTCTCCACAGGCAGCTGCAGATTTTCTGGCATCACAGATACCAAGGGAACATCCCCCATTTCCAGGGAGACTACAAAGAGAGAGAAATTAAAGGCACGTGTCAGTATCATGAATGTTTCTCATTGCTTCCTGCTCACTTTCACAACATCTCCTTCTGTGATGAGCTGTATGACCCAGTGCTAAGGTGATGGGATGAGACACAGGCAGAGACTCGCCCAGGATGTCACTGGAAACATGTCTGGCAAGTCATTGCCTTGTGACAGCTACACTACTAATGCACAGCTCATTCCAAAGCCATGCTTCAGGCTGCTCTTCCTCTGCCAGATCCCACTAACACTGTGCATGTGGCTACAGGGACACTGTGAGCTTCTCTCTGTGAGCTCAAGCAGAGTTTGTCCCTCTGTTCTACTGAGTATATCTTGGAGCTGATTACACACAGCTCACCTCTGCCTGACTGCAGAGCCAGGCTCCTGCACGATCCCTCCACTCCAGCTCAGGGATGCCTGAGGAACTGCCCCTTCCCTGCAGGTGACAAACACTCATTTGCTGTAAGGAGGTCAAGGACTGCCTGCTGTGCTGCACAGCTGACACACAAACCATGCCTGGTCACCAGCAAGCTGCTCTGTTACTTCATGAGTAACCTGATGCCCAGGGGCCCTGGAGAGAAGCATTCAGCTGCTCAGAAGGGAAGGAGTGATTTCCATACATTACCATTGCACGTGTCCCTGGCATACTAAGGAGACAGCTCTTGCCATGCAGAGCCAAAGCACAGTTCAGATCTACAGGGAGAGGGTCTGTGCACTGCCTTGGGACTGATGGGCTCCAGTTCCAGCTTGCTGCTAGGTGTGAAAGCTGCTCACTGCCCACACCACTTCCATCACGGGTTTTAAAAGGAAGAGATCCTAACGAGTTTTAAGAGAGCATGATCCCGTAAGCACCTTTATCTTCAATCAGAGCTAGAAGGAACATCTCCTGCTAACAAGTGATATGGCATTTCTAGGCCTTTTTTTTTTCAGATTGCCTGTGTTGTCCAGGCAAGTCATTGCCCTTTCCTTGCCATAGGGAGAAGGTGCTCTGAGGAGGTGATGCCTGAGAATAGCATTCTTTGCCTGCTTCTCAAATGCAATGCTCTGGGCAGTAGGGAAGAGGGGAAAATATCCTGTACTTGAAGGTGAGCTGTCCTGGTGCTAGGGATTAGATGTTTCCTGGTTACATCCATTTGGCAATTAGTAATTCCAGACTGAAAATACAATTCATGTTAGACCCAAGAGGTTTAGCAAAGCAGTGAGCAAGCCATGCATCCACAGCTGCTGCAGATCTCAAGGCAGCTTGCAGCCACAGGAGAATGCAGACCCTACAACCTTCTGTGACAGCACCACCTCCTGCTTAAAAGTAAGGAAACTGAGGAACAATCCAGAAAAGCTCCAGGACAAAAAGGTCAGCGTGGTCACCCTGGTGGCACTACGCAACAGGCACGTACCAGGCTCCTCCTCCACGCTGAGCAGTGGGATGTCATCATCGAGGTAGGGCAGCGTCTCTCGGCCTGCTCTGGAGGTGCCCTCTGAGGCAACGAAGAGATCCTCAGCCAGGTGCAAAGCACTCTTCTTGGTGCACTTCTGACTGCAGCTGGATTGGGAAAGGGAAGGACGCAAAGGCGTGAGCTTTGAGTCAGGTACCCTGCAAACAGTTACCACTGGTCTCCTTCAGCAAGAAGGAAAACAGCAGCAGCCTGCTCCAATTACTTGGAAAGGCAACAAGAGGCAATGCTGTGTTCTATTTCCATTGCTAAGTGCTGAGAGGTCAGGGGCTGAGCTGCTATGGCAAAGCAGCAGCAGTCAGGGCTGAATAAACAGAGCTGAGCCACACACGCTGGGTGCTGAGTGACGGAAATTTCAGCAGTTCATCTCCCTGCTAATGAATTAAATCAGGCCAGGTCATCTGCACTGCTAAAGAGCAAGGGAAGGGAAACGTGCTGACTTCCAAACAGGAATCTGCATGCACTGCTTGTGCTCGCAGGCAAGAGCAACTCTAGTCTGCCTGCCGTGCTGGGCTTGTGCGTCCACAGCTCAGGGATGAGGCTCTGCTCTGAGGACACAGATGCGTCCATTCTCCATGAGATTCAAGAAAGAGAAACGACTGACGTTGCTGAATCTGCCCCTGAAGTGGCATGTGTGCTTACCCCAAGGGAAATGAAAGAGGGACCTGATCCTTTAATTTTTGTTCTCATCTTTAAGGGTTGAACTTCTTTTATGTTATAGAGACTATCAGCGAATGGGGAAGTCAAGGAGAATGAGAATGACAGGATTGGGTAAGGATTTGCATGCTGTCTTGATCATGTGCTCCCCAACAACTTCCCACTCACAAAACTCAGGGCTCACCTGGTTTGGCAGGAGCTCTCTAGTGGGGACACATAAAGAGTCCATATTCCGAGAGCAGCTGGCATGGTAAAGAGCACAGCCACCCAGCAGCAGGACACAATCAGCGACATGAAGAGTCCAAAGTCATGCACAGCTGGGATCTACATGAAGAGAACAGAGAATTGGGATCAGGGAGGGAGATGCAGAGAGACAAAAAGATATCTGGAGGAACCTGAAAATAGCTCATGCTGATCTTAGTCATAGTCAGCAAACTTGGTACGAAGCTGAGTCAGAGCCTGGCAGCTTCCTTCTCTTTTAGGGCCTGTGACAGGAATAGAAAGCCCCCAGTCCCACAACTGCAGCATACCTGAGAGAAGATGTTGGCAGCATAAGCTGCAGCTGTGGTCAGGGAAGTGAAGAAGGTGGCCTTCCCTGCTGTCTGGATTGTGTGGATCATGCGCAGCCGCAGGTCTTTGAGGTGGGTGGCTTGGCGGTAGGTGTTGATGAACACAAAGACATCATCAACCCCTAGGGAAAAGAAAGGAGAGTTTGGTACTTTGCTCATGCTACAGGGACACGTGCTGAGATCCTCATTTCCCCTGAGCTTCTGATCTGAAGATCCCCCACTTACAGATAATGGAGGCAACAGGCTTGAAAATTTGATCTACATTTGTCTCCAATACCTTCCTCTCTTCTGCATGCAGAAGTTATGGCAAGGCAGCGCAGGTAGATCTGAACAAGAACATGCTTACCAATCCCCACAATGACAAAGGCAGCCACACCATTGAGTATGCCCAAGTACTGGATCCCAAAAACGACGTGGTACAGGAACAGAGCCACCAGACAGCTCAGTCCAATACTGGCGATGCCAAAGAATGACAGGAACACTGCAGGAGGAAATCAAGATGGAAAAAACACCAGTGATGGCCACTCCCAGGGAGAACAGTCACCTCCCACCTGCCCTGCTGGGGTACTGATGGGGCACACTGGGCTCTGAGCCTACCTGAGCAGGAGGTAAGGATGTAAACCAGGACAGCTATGCAGCTACTGCTGATGAAGGCCAGCAACATGTCATTGTTGAATGTCCTCCTCACTTCATAGTCAAACAAATCTGTCCCTCCATACAGCACCTGGACTTTGCTAGGGTGGGAAGGTGGAAAGGACGAAGATTAGGCAGAGTTGAGTGCAAAGGGAGCAGAGTGAGGGGATTTAACAAAGCACATCATCTCCCCTGGGGCCAAATGATGTCACTGCTCTATAAACTGCTCGGAGCAGTGAGAGCAGGTTGGACTAGCTTGCTGCTGGAGATGAAATTCACACACAAGAAGGGAGAAAAATAAAAGCAGGTCCAATATTTTTAGAATTCTTCCGGAGTATGGTGGGTCTGTGGCACTAGTAGACTTCCTGCTGTCAGCAAACAGCTTCTGAAGCTTCCAAAGCTGATTCCATCTAGAATCCTAATCATTGCTTTTTATGTTAAGCACAAAGGTAATAACCAGCGGATGCAGGCAGAGTTAGAGCTCATCAGGAACCATATGATTTAGCAGCCTCTGCTTCTGGAAGCAGACTCTGAGCGGAAGTAATCCAAGACAATTTAAGCAGGAGTACCACAGCACTGCATCATAGGAGACAACCGGGAATCTGAGCCTCAGCCCCAATTCCATTTTGGCTTCTACTGGCTGCAGCCTCAGTGCCAGCCCATTGCTGAGAACACTGCAGATGCTTTCAGGGCTAACAAGAGCTGGCAGCATTTCACTCTGCTTTTGAAGATCAGTGTCCCTTCACTCTGGGAACTATTGAGATTCAGAGCAGTAGAGAGCTGGAGACTGAAAAGCTGCAGTGCCTTCCCCCAGCTCTCCGGATACTGGTCTACCCTTTTTCTTTGACCTCTGGTTTACTTTTTCTCTTCCACAAGCACAGAGCAAAGCTCTCTTCAACATGATCCCTGCAGACCAGGTGGTGAAATATGTCTGCATTTCCTGAAACAGATTTTGCCCACAGGTTGATGTCTTGACTAAGGGCTGTTTCACTCCTTGCATCACACCAGCTGAGGCCAAATTTAGAGCAGGAACACAGAGTAGAAGCTCTGCTGGAGTCAGTGGAATTGAATTTGTGAGATGGGAGCAAACAGACCCCACATCAGACAGACGCTGAGCACAAAGGCAGGCACTAGATTCAATCTTTGCCTTGCTGTCACCATCTCTGATGTCCCTGACATGCTGCTGCAGTAGGAAGTGGCACTGAAGGAAAGCGTGTAAATGGTTTTCTGCTCCTCACTTCCACTCACAGCACTGTGCCAGAGCCCAACTCTGAAGATGTTTTTACTCCTTCCTCCAACCCCCCCTTTAGTGCCACAGCAAGCATTCTCTTCTTCAGCCTCTATCCTTCACTGCCTCCTCCCTGCCTGCACACACCCTCACCTCGTGGACTGCTTGGCCAGCATGGCCACGTAGGTGACGACAAAGTTCTGGAACTTGTGGCGCTGCTCCTCCCAGCGATCCTCCACTGAGTAGTAGTTGGGCAGTGGTGCCCCAAAGAGGATCTCGCTCCGCAGCAGGGAGCTCTTCTTGTTCTCAGCAGACAAACCCTCATCTACATACCAGTAGAACTCGGGGTGGGTCATGGCCAGCTCCAAGGACCCTGCAGGAGAAAAGCACCACTCATGTTAGGTCCTGCTGAGCTTTGCAAGGCACGGGGGCTAACAAAGGGAGGTGGGACTGTAGTCACTGACTATGGTAATACGATTAACTGCACATGAAAGAAAAGATCAGGGAGTTAAGACATAAGGAACAGACTCCATTTCTTTAAGAACATCATGAAAACCAGAGCAAGCCAGTTCTGCCTCCAGAACCCAAGGTCCCTTGAGTTCATGCCAGAAAAACTCAGAACCAGGCTCTTTCCTGTTCTGGTAACAGAACTATTACTCACGCTGGAGCAGATGGAGCTCAGCCTTTCCCTGCTCCCAGCATGGCTCCTGGACAGTTACCAGCTACATCCTGTGCTGGGGAGACAGATGGATGCTCCATCCCACAGCCGCATCACACCCACGGCCTTCTTATGATTCACCTCCTCACCACCTCTGCTCTGCTGGAGGAGCATCCTGCAGGTACGGAGTTGGGAGGAGGAGGTAGGGCCTTCCTCCTCTTCTCCTTACAGACAGCTGGTGACTCACAAGCTGCCTTTCATGCTGCAGAGCAGCCCACAGACCTTTCTTCTGTTCCGCAGTGCAGGGAAGCTCATCCCTATTGTCTGTCCAAGGCCTGATATTCTTCCAATTTTTCACGTGAGCGAAGGACTGGAAGGCAACTGTACAATGTATGATTCCCCTTCACTTGGCCTTGTCGCTCGCCTACTGGGGTCTGTGTGACACGGTTTAGTGGGCATGGTGTGGATGGGCTGATGGTTGTACTGAATGATCTTAGTGGTCTTTTTCAACCTTTACGATTTCATGACTCTACGCATGCCCTGACCTCACCAGCCCTGGCCCACAGCACTCAGCTCACCTTGGATATCAGCAAGGTCTTGTCCCATACCATCGTAGTAAATCTTCCCTCCTCTCTCCGTGGGAAAGAAGTAAGTCATGAGGGAGCTGGGAGGGGAACAGTAGGAGTAGGAGCCCAAGGGCAGGTCCTTCAGGACCTCGTGGGGCTTCCAGCAGAACTCCCGGAAGCGAGGGTGATCCATGATCTTACGTTCAACCTCATGGATGGTAACCAGGCGCTCCGTGGTGAAGATGTTGTTCTCAGAGTCCCCCCGGGCCAGAAAGATGAGCTCAATGCGCCAATGCGCGTGCGCCTGCGTGTTGGCACTGATGTAAGTGTTGGAGTAGTCCCAGCGTGGGGCTCCCCTCGTGACACGGGATGTCTCGTTGCCTGGGTGTGGGTGGGCACGGGGCTCAAGGGAGCGAGTCCTGCCCTGCGGGGCGCTGCGCTTGGCCCGCGTGCTGACCTGCAGGTGGGAAGCGTTGAGGTGCAGCTGTTGGAGCTGCTCAAAGATGAGCCTCTGCAGGGTTTCGGAGGTGAAGTCAGCCAGGTCACGGCGGTTCCTCCCCCATGACCCAAACTGGGACTTGAGGGCCAAGGCGAGCGCATCGAAGCGCTGCGAGGACTCGTGGTTACGGATCTCAAAGGCGTTGTAGGAGATATCAATGTCCAGCGCTGGGTAGTGGAGGAACATGACAACAGCGAGCACAGCAGGGATGGCACAGCCCAGGAAAAGGATGAAGCCAGCGCAGTATGGGTTGGTAAATATCCAGCCTACGATATTCCAGAAGCCACTGACTGGCAGTGTGACACGCAGAGGCCTGACCCTGCAGGAGCTTTTGCCACACAACAGAGCACCCTCCCGCCTCTTCCTTGAGCTGAAGGCAACCTCTTCGTCCTCCTCATCCAGCCAGGCGTCCTGCAACAAGGGGTCATCCTCTGTGTCCATGTCCAGCACCTGCCAGAAGGGGAGAGAAGAGGTCAGCAGTGCTCCTGCAATTGGGTCACCAGGCCCAGCTGTGGGGTTATCAGGCCCAGATGTGGGTGCAGAGGATCACCAAAGGGTCTCAGCAACAGAGCTGGGGCTCTCCCAACCCTGCACCCTTGACAATACCACACGAGTCCTTTTGGATCACGCAGATTCATCATAACCATTAAAAGAGCAGCTGCTCATGGAGCACCTCATGGTTCATTTAACAGAGGAACTGGAGCAGGAGGAGTTCAAACAACAGTCACAGGGCCCTGTGGGGCTCTGAGGGGCTCTGTGTGGCTCCAGGGACACCAGCATAGTGATGCCAGGGGCTTCACAGTGTGTTAATTAATTAGAGAACCTGGTTCTCATGCTCAGGAACAGCTCAAGCTACTAGATGAAAACACAAGAGACTTTATGCCTTCTCATTAAAACAGACAATAGATTTTCCCCCAGGTATTCATAGCTGCATTTCCCACAAAGCATGCACTGTACACACATAGGAAGCTCACAAACTTGCGCCTGCAGACGTGGACGTCAGCACAGACTGATCCCACAGAGCTGTCTGTGACCCTACCGGCGTCCCATTCAGCAGAGCAGGAAAGGGAAAGGCTGAACGACCCTGGGGTCAGGCAAGGATCTCCAAGGGAAATCTCAGCCCTCTACTGTTTCTGGCTGTTGTTAATGAAGTGGTACAGAACATCCAGATTGCAAAAGCAGACGCAGCCCCCAGGGAGCGAGCAAGAAACTCCTTCCTGGAATAGCTCGCACTTGGGCAGGATAGAAAAGGACTCAAACTGGGAAGTGCTCTCTTTGCTGAATTCTTAGCCTTCCCTCATGCCTTTCCTTGCTCTTTCCAGCCAGAAGGAAGCTGGCTGGTTCTGGGCTCCATTATAAAATCATACAATCATTAAGACTAGAAAAGAGCTCTAAGATCACCAAGTCTTACCCCAACCCACCCCCACCACATCCCTCAGTGCCACATCTCCATGTTCCCAAGACCTCCAGGGCACAGCGGTGGTCCCCAAGAACAACAGCCAGCACAGTGCCATGCCTTCCTACAAAGCCCTCAGCCCTCACCCTGGATGAACACATTCAATTCGTCGCTCCGCTCTGAAAGCTGCGAGCAATTTACACACAGGCCAGAAGCAATTTAAGAGCTTTACTCCTTGCCAGTGTTTCTATTAAACAGGATTTCTATCTGCAGGCAGATGAATTGCCAGCTCCCCTTAACTCCGAGTCCTCAGGAAAAGCAAGGCAACAGAAATCCTCCCAGGCAGAAGAGGGATGTGCAAAGAAGCAAGAGTCACAGCGATCCCTGACTCAGGGCAGCCTGGAGGAAGCCTATGGCTTTGCAGAACGGCTGCAGGATTTATTCTGCTCTGGATAGCACCTGCAGGACAGCACTGCCAGCCCATGGAGAACCTTCGAGCTCAGCATCCGTGCTCCTGCCCACACTGAGGGAAGCACCAATGCCCGCCAGTGGCTTTAGTCTGCAGCTGGAATCGCCTCACAACACAGTGACTTCCACTGCACCCAGCTGCCCTTCCTCTCGCAACCCTGGGCTCCCCTTCAAGAGAAGGGAGTCGCTGCAAGACCTGATTAAGCACATTTATTGTCTTTTTAGAAAGAAAGAGAGGTAAAGGGCCATAATAATTTCCCATTTATTGAGCTACTGAGGAGAAGGAGGGAGAAGATTGTAATCCTGGAACAAAAGAGCCTGCATGTGACAAGAAAGGGAAGCAAGGGAGACTGAGGCAGTAATGAGCCACCAGAAGCAGTATCATGCCATCGTCTTTTTTAACCAAAATCTAAATCTTCAATTAAAGGAAGAGGATCAGACCTTAGGTATATCTTCTGGCTCTCCCCACTCACTCTCATGCCAGGTAGGCACCCCCAACACACAAAGGCCACAGCATGCTACACCCTATCTAAAATCTTTGTACAAATTCTGATGCAAACCCCAGTGCATCAGATGCTGGAAAAGCCCCAGGATTGTCTGCACTCACATCAGATCTGAGTCAGGGCTGTGGAGGGCTCACGCCGTGCTCCTGGCAGAAGGCTGTGCTACCCTGAAGGGGACAGCCTTGCTCTGTGTGCATCTGTGTGCATCCTGCCCTGGTTCCAGCACAGCTCTGAACTCCCTTCAAAAGAGTTTACCGCATGATTTGGCTGCAAAGCCAGACACAGCCCACTTAGCATTGCCCCTGGGACTCGTCTGGTTCTACCGCCTTCGTCAGATCCTGCCTGGGTCAGGATGAAAGCTTCTGCAACCCAACACACTGCAAATGGAATCGGCAGGGGAGATAAACCCTGAAATCGGCCAGAAGGAGTGAAATGCATTTTCTCTGCTCGAATTTTACTTGGGGCTGGCCTCGTTTCCCTCCCCCACCTCCCATACTACTCCAGGGATGGCCAACGCTGAAGCACGGCCCAATTACTTTTTCACTTTCAGGATTTGTGCACCTAATCCTGCAGCTCCAACTAAAGCTCTGATTTACTTTTGGGTTGGAAGGAAAAGAGGGTAAGAATGCTCCCAGAAGCTCTTTCTTCAGAGCAGAGGCCCTGACAGCCTCCTGGGGTAGGCACTGAGATTTGCTGGACTTCCCCCTGCCCATTCCTAAGCAAAGGGTCACATAACTGCTCCAAAAGCAGGCAGGACCCCGCAGAACAAGCAGCCAAACCTCCTGTAAATGTTAACTGGAGACCCCCCACTGCCCCTATGTGGCATGTTCAGCTTCCCAAGTTCATGCCATTGAAGGCAGATGGGGCAGAACCCCACAAAGCCATGTTAGGGACAGCTCCATTGTAGCCTGGGTTCTCCACTAGTGACTGGCCAAGTCTGATGTAACTCCATTTACTACAGCCCTTCGGGCCCAACCCATCAGCCAGTTGCTCACCCTTCACATTGCATTTTTGTTTGGCTGTATGCTGGACATTTTGTCCAGAAGGATATTATGAGAAACGGTATTGGAAAGCTTCACTGAAATCCAAAATGATAACATAAAAACACAACCACCCTTCACACTGAGCCCTCTGGGTTGGGACTGACAGGCAGTGTCAGCACGCAGCCCAGATGCCACAAAGCCTGAAGATGTGGGCTCAGAAAAGCCATTGCAGAAAAGAGAAACGTGGCCATGAAGAGACTCACACCTTCCACTGGCACACCCACAGCTTTATAGAAGGGGCCAACAACGCCAGGATCCAGCTGACAACTTGCTCTGCCTCTTCATGGCCATGGCAGCACTGTGGACCAGACAGAAGATAAGGAAGGTCTCCTTGTCAGAGCTATTTTTTTCAGTAGCAATGGGCTCTGCTGCCCAAAGGAGCACAGAGGCCACCTCACACCAGACCTGAGCTCCACTCTCAGCCTGAGCACTGGGCATCAGCCCTGCACAGCTCAGGGGATGGCTGTCATGGATGAACCAAGGATGAGAGGGATGTGGCTAGCAGGCAGCACTGGCTGCAGGTGGACGGTTGGACTGGATGATCTGAGAGGTCTTTTCCAACATTGATGACTCTATGATCCTAACACCTCCATCTCTGCACTCCCTGTTCAGCAATTTAACCAAGGCATCCCTCATGCCTTGCTGCAACCTCCCAGTCTGACTGGAGTAATGAATGAAGCTTTTAAAACACTGCAGGGCTATGGAGCACAGGGTTGAAATAACGACGTCTCCTGTGAGCCTGGCAGATAGCAAGACAGAAGGGACAAACCCAAACCTGGGAGGGCTAAGATTAGCAAGAATTTGGCCCCTGCCTGCAGATGGGGGAATCCAGCTCAAACTCCATCAGCCCTGAGGGTGCTGTCACTCGCTTGCACCCCAACCAGGCAAACCACCCATGATAATTCTTTCTTTCTGATAAATTCCAGGATAGAAGAAAGTCATTGACAAGCCAGGGAGAGGCAGTGACAGATGAGGAAGCTAATTACATCCGACCTGACTAATTAATGCCAACTTTCAGATTAAAAAATCCTCACCAGTGTTCCATTTCAATTACTCAGTTGTTCCTTCTTAGAGGAAAAAAGAAGCCCTGTGCATCAGCGAGCGAGAGAGAAAAAAAGGAAAGAAAGCACAAGGCTAGAAGGGGAGGGAAGACAATTTCTGTAATATGGGAGATTCCTATCGACAAAATAATTAAACTTCACATTTGTTTCTCCCGTGGGCAAAGCTTTCGCAGCACAGCCAGCAGCTCTGTGATACTATTTGTATTCCTGAAAACTCGCAGAGTTCCTACCAAAGGCAGCTTTCGGCCCCTTTATGAGCAACATAAAGTTCCTCTAAGAGGAAGAGAAACGGGCTTTGTGCTTGCAAAATCATCCTAAGAGCATCCAGCTGCTGGAAAAAAGCTGCATCTCTAATGATGTGCATTCGACAGCGGGGATGGACAAAGAGCCTCCCAGGCCCCGTCATGCTGAAGGATGCAGCGCTGAGCTCTGACCACGCAAAGTGGCTGCAGGGCATCATTAATGTATATCCACTCCAAAGCAGTGCTCTGCAGCAACGCTGAGACTCAGGACCCAGAGTTTTCCACTGTGCTTGTGTCCACAAGACTGCTGGGGAAGTACTGGTTACACAAACAACAAAGAAGGGCTGTCTCGGGTCCCTGCTCTCCCTTTATCAACACAGCCGTGACCGAGTGCTGCAGTGCCCTCTGCCAACACACACAAGTCTCGCTGCCTTTCATGAGTGCAAAAAATGAGGCAGCAGGAGGTACGAGGTGCAACTTCTGGCCCCCTAATTGGAGGTCTGACTTACAGAGGTGCTGCACTCCCAGAAAAGCAAAGCAGGCTCAGGACATCTCACACTGGGCTCCTGACCCTGAATCTCCTGGAACTCTCCTGCAAACAGCAGCTTAATTCAGCCTGAGGACACAGCTCAGAGCCTGTCTCAGTGTGATACAAGCCTGGAGATGCACACGATACTAAAAGATATTGGTTCCACTGCTGCCTGGGCTGCCTCCTCCATTATTAACCAAACAGATCT